GCGTGTGTGTGTGTGAGAGTGTTTGTGTGTGTGTGTGTGTGTGTGTGTGTGTGTGTGTGTGTGTGTGTGTGTGTGTTTATGTTTACTTTGAAGGAACATTCGAGAACAAAACCAAGGAAAAGTTTACAAAAATATTTATTCCAGCAAAATATCTAAAAAACATAAAAGGCTATGAAGTTATAAGTAAGCATCAAAGAGATTTTTTGTAATAAGTAAGTCTGCATTAAGTGGTATCATTTCTACAGGAATAATAAATGGCAAAAAGGACAAAGGTGAGTTTCTGAAGAAAAAAAAATCTAAAGGACAACTTTCTATAGTAAACAACTGCCCTTTACAGTAATTGACATATGGTTATTGTAGTTTAAACTAATAATTAAAAGCTTATCACAATTAGGAAAGAAAATATTTTTTTATTTTTTTATTTTTATTCTCTCTAGCCATTTGTCTCTATTAAAATAGCCCAAAGAAGAATATGTGTCATCTGTGAATGTGGCAGTAGAGAAAACGTTGTCCTTCCAGTGTTCATGCACATTTATTTCAGAATATTCTTTCAGTAAACTAGAGAGGAACTATCAGTCTATAACTCTCCTGCAACTGATTATGATGTAATAATTCACTTACTGCAGAATATTTCATAATGACACATCATCTGTGTTTTTTTGAAGTACAGTCTGGAGAATGCCTACAGCAAATACAATTTCTGTTTCATAGATGATTCATCCTGTTGCCTCTGAAGAATATTTTTTGCATTATGTTAGTTTTATGAAATTATTTAATACATGTAAAGTAAAGGTAGTGTGCTAGTCGTTCCCGACTCTAGGGGGCGATGTTCATCCCCATTTCAAAGCTGAAGAGCCAATGCTGTTCGCAGATGTATTTGTTGTCACGTGGCCAGCATGACTAAATGCCAAATGCGCACAGAATGCTGTTATCTTGTTCCCTATTTTTCTACTTGCATTTTTATGTGCTTTCAAACTGCTAGGTTGGCAGAAGCTGGGACAGATAACAGGAGCTCACTCCATTACGTGGTGCCACGGATTCGAACCATCGAACTGCCAACCTTTCGATCGACAAACTCAGCATCTTAGCCACCACCTCCCTTTTATTTTTTATTTAATCTATTGGGCATTAAATCACGAATCACAAAACATGACTTTCCCACAAAAAGTTAGGATGTGCATGGTTCTGAGTTCAGTTTTCTTGGCAATAATATGTAAATAATCTGCTATTTTTTTTTCTAGTTTTAAAAAAAAAACTTTCCAGTCTAATATACAGTGCTGGTAGACTTCCTGGAAATCTCCCATTCTAGACTTGATTTTGTCTAACTTTCAAACTTTGATAAGATCAGCCTGCTATCTTTGCCATTTTGGGGAGAGAATACTTGTCAGAAAAAGTCTGCAGGATGTGAAAAAAAAATGGATGGCAAAGAAGGGATAAATGGAGCACATGCATCCCTCAACTTCCAGCTGCCCACTGTTGAGTTAAACTTCATCAGGAAAATGCTTGCTCAGTAACCTGAGGGCCAAGGCTTTGTTGTATCCAACATTTAAAAAAAAAACAAGACCATTTCCTCTCTCACTAAATGCTTTCATCAGTTCAAGATGAAATTGGTCCTTAGTACTTTGGCAGCAAAAGGACAGGCAGTAAAGGAAATGAAAAAAATAGCTGATATTTTCATTTCAGCTTCTGGGGTTCCAACTACTGGCACTCCTATTCATATTTCAACTGCTGCTGCTACTACTCAGTATCTCTCTTCAGTTTTTTTTTCAATGGAAGCAAATCTATATCCTGTTTGTTTTCATTGCTACTATTGTATACTTGCAAATATAGGTAGTCCTCACCACACCATGGCAATTGAGCCCAAAATTTAACAATTGTTGCCACAGTTGTTAATTGAATCACTGCACTTAGTAACTGCAGTGTTAGTAATATGGTTGATAAGTGAATCTGACTTCCTATTGACTTTGCAGAAGGTGGCAGAAGTGATCATATGACTCCAGGACAATGCAACCGGCATAAATTTGAGCCAGTTGCCAAACATCTGAATTTTGATTACTGACCATGGGGATGCCGCAATGGACATAAATGTGAAAAACAATCAGAAGTCACTTTGTTCAGCGCCGTTGTAACTTTGAACAGTCACTAAACGGAATGTTGTAAGTCAAGGACTATCTGTAAAGCCATTAAAAATATTAGTGATCTTTCTTCCAAGTGATGCCTGTGCTGGAACTTCTTCACACTGAGAGACGTTGAGAAAGCATAGCAATAGGTAAGCACTCATGAAATTACATGAGAAAAGAGGAGTAGCTTTTTGGGGGGGAAACAGGATACATAGCAGAAGTGGAAAGTCAGTGGCTGAATCATAGAATGGTTTAATTATTTATGGTCTCCTTTGTTCTGGAAACAAATATAGCTTATTCAGTAAACCATGAATAAAGAAATCTTAGTTTATTGTATTTACTGGATAAATAAATAAATAAATTTTATATATTTAAAGTGGGAAAATGTCTGTATGGTATACCTGTCTGGCTATTTACAAATTTGTTTGTTAAATGACCATAAGCATCAGTAAAATATTTTTATTGGGCTTAAAATTAGGAATCAAGATTTTTCAGTAGAAAATTATAGAAAAATGATTAAGAAATTCTATGTTGCAAGTAGACTTTTGATTCAATCATAAATGTAAAGATATTTCCAAATAAACTATGTAAAATGGTAGGAAATATATTAAGCATGCACAAGTTTTATAGCAAAACTTTGCAAAGAAATCCAACAACCATCAGTTGTAGATGATAGGAAAGAAACATTAACCATTGCCTTTAATATATAAAAGCATTTTTTTAAAAACAGATTTTTGCTTTGTTTAAACAATAAAAACTAGAAAGGCGCCTTTAGAACATTAAAAAGCTTTTGACATTAGAAAAAGGATACCAGAAAATGTGGAAAGAGATATCATGATTTTATGAAACAGTGAATGAATACATCTTTAATAATTAATTAAAAATATAGTTATTCATACATTTTGTGAAGGAAGTCTGATTTAATTTGTGTTTATTTTCTCTTGTATTTTTAAAGGTTTTTTTTAGTTTTTGTATATTGTAGATAAATAATTTAATTAGAATGAAATAAAGAATTAACACCAGTCGTCAGGTACACACATTTTTCTTGTGGATAAATTATTTGTTTAAAAACCCAAAATGCACACTGATATTTCAATAGTTTTATATACTGGAAGAGAACACTCATACAGTTTCTGACTTTTACTCCATTTTCACATTGATCACGTTGTTTTCTTCTTTCATTTTGCATCTTCAGCTTAGTTTCTTTTCATATCAATTATATGACAGCACAATTTTTCAATATTATTTGTTATAAAGTAGTTCAGAGTGACTGATATTTTTTAGGATTCCTGTAAAAAAACAGGAGGAACATGAGGAAAATATAGCCCAGAGAAACAGATTAAAAAGTGTAAGAGAAAAAGAGAGAGATAGAGGAAAAAGCATCAAAAGGAAGTATGTGTGTATAGCCAGATTAGGCAGGGCTTTGAGGATTTAGACAAAACTGACTCGCTTCCCCAGCTTTAGTCAATTATCCATCTTTTAAAATTGTTAATTAATGTTTATAATGAGAAGTATACCTACTTACAGGCTAGTTTTCTTTCATCCATTTCAAAGATACAAGAGAGTTTTTAAAATCAGTTGTTTTATCCATTATAAATTGCTGCTGTGTATCTCAGTTATTTGGTATAATAAGAACATAGCTGTGATAGTTCTGTGAAATACAATTTTAAAAGTAGATCTTATGGATGTTGAAAAACTGTGGAAAGCACTGTTTGAAAACAAACAAACTCCTTGGCATGCATGTATTGAGAAGAATGTATCAAAGTAATGGGTGGGGGGTGGGGGAGATGAAGTGTGGTAGAGGATCTGAGGTACAAGAAAAATGTAAATTTTTGAAAGCATAGTGACTTAAAGCAGAAATGGGACAGAAAGGACAACCAGAGGGAAAACAGCTACAGCTACACTGGAAATTACTAAAGAATTTGAGAAGTCCAGGACAGCAAGAAAAAGCAATGGTGTGGGAAAAGGTTGGGGAAAGAAAAGAAAGATAATAAGGAAAGAGTCAGTTTTTACTATCTATAGAAGTGATCTGCAAATACAAATATATGTGTGTGTATACCCCGTTTTCCCGAAAATAAGACCTCCCTGGATAAATAGCCCAATTGGGCTTTTGAGTGCATGCGCTAAGATAAGCCCTCCCCTGAAAATAAGCCCTCCCTGAAAATATTGCAACACAGCAGCAGCCATGAGGTCACCACGCTCTCTACCTCTTGCACCTCCAAAATAATAAGACCTCCCCGAAAATAAGGCCAAGTGCTTATTTCAGGGTCAAAAGAAAATAAGACCCTGTCTTATTTTGGGGAAAACAAGGTGTATATATAGATATATAAAACTACATTCATTTATTTTTATACAGTGGTACCTCAGTACTCATTGTTAATTGGTTCCAGGAGGTGTGATGAGTACTATTTTTCTCAAGGGAAAATGTAGTGAGTCACAAGGCAGCCTAACATAGTTCTTAGCTTTTGTGTTGAGTACCAAACAATGAGTGGTTGTGAGTTTTTAAAAATAGAATATTGTAAATATGACTATGCAATTTATGCAATAAAAATTAAATTACAAAGAATTAAAATTCTAATTGATAGCCCAGACAATGATAAAAAAGATTAATGTTTCTACAACTTAGGCCCGAGATAAAAAGTGCCATCACCCCCATTCAACTTCTTTGAGCACAATGCAAATAGAGATCCTGACAATAAAATTTGAGTACTGGGATGCTTCTGACTAAGCAAGATACTAGGCACTTGACATATAACTCTATCAATATACATTGCTAGTGCCACTTCTTACCCCATTTGCATTATATATTTCCAATGTATACTGTGTATATAATCAGGAGTTCCATTCATGTTATATATATTCTTTCATATGTTTGAAGGATTGGCTTCATAAAGATTTGCAGAGATACGTACATAGGAATAGGAATGTGGATTTGGATTACTGTTAGTCACAGAACATGAGTATTCAAAAGAAACTACTAAGTTAATAAAGGTCATTTTGATTGGTTTTCAATCAGTAACACAGTTTCAAATGTCAGTAAAGCTTTAAGGGTGCTTTATGTCTTCACTTGCTCCCCCCCCCAATTATCCCAGGCCTTTTCAGGAAATGCCTCTCCCATTCTTTCTTCCATCTAAATGTCAACCTGCCTCCTCATGAGGGTCATGTTGTAGTACTATGGGTTAGCTTCCACTATCTGATTGGCTTTTCATGAGCTGCTTGTGAGTCACTGACTGATTTGAAAAGTTGAGTTGGAGAGGGTTTTTTTTTGGTAATTGAAAGGCAGACTTTTAATGCTTAGGAGTTTAAAATAGAATTTCTGATTAAAGAATTGATTTTTTTTTCTGATTTCTTTGGTTTTGCAGAGAAAATGTGCTTGGGAATAATGAAGGTTGGTGACCAACCTCCTTGTCACTAATTATGATTTGCATGAATGAGCTTTTGATAGAACTAACCATTTTCTGTATACTGTATGAATACAGATCCTAAAGCATGGTTGTGGCCTGTGTAAAAACCTACTTCTGCTAATAAGTTATCCTCTCTGGGTTAAGTAAACAGGCTAGAAAGTAATTTTCAGTAATTCTGAAGAAAACAGCAGGAAAAAATGGGCAGAGTTTTAAAGAATTGGCAGATGAATGAAATAATAGAAAGAGAATGAGGGGCATTCTCTTCTATTTTAAAAGCTATTTAGCTATTATTAAATACTGTATATAAGTTATTTCATAAGTTTCACAGAGAAATCTCCCATCTATTATATACAAGTGTCTGAAAGTATGCATGGCTCACATTAGATCAGTGTTTGCAACCTTTGTGTGAACTTCAACAACCAGCCAGCTTAATCATTGCTAAAAATTCTAGGAATTTAATGCATTCAAATCAGAGTTGCAAAGATTGTGAAATACTGCTTTAGATGAAGAGAAGCGCTGCTGATGTCATTCTCTTGAGTACACCTTCTGTGATTTTGGTTCAATTTGAGTTAATGAATTGGATAGAATCTACACTGTGTGTTCAGAAGCTTTCTTACTGAATCTTTATTGTTCAAGTTTTACAGATGAAAATAATACAAATTTGATTTACAACACTGGATAATGTGACGGTTCTCCCAAGTAGAAGCAAAATTCTAGCTATACTCTGTTTCAGAGTTGTGTATTGTAAGCACAACATATACGTTTACACCTATTCCTGTTGGAATAGTCAATCCCAGGTATGATCATTTTAAACGGGACCATTGATAATTGTGGAGAAAAAAAAATGAGGAAAAGCAGTCTTTAGAATTGCAGTAATTATTGGGTTTTTGATTTTTGGCTTTGATTGCTTAAAATGACTCTTATGCTGGAATATTGTGGAAAGTTTAAATAAACCCAATCTAAACCGTCAGGCAAAATGTATGTATCGCATGTCTGGGGACGTTGTCAGTTAAACCTACCATGCCTCTAGAAAAGCCCAAATTCAGCCAGAAATTTGAAATACTCAAAATGTCTGATGAGGAGAAGGACTTCAGAATCAGGTTCTTGATTCTGCTCAGACTTAGGCCTTAAACCATCCATGTAATTATTAGTGGTTGCCTGGTTGCAGTTTGCAGTTAAGAATTGTGGTTGGTAGTGACAATGAAAAGGTGCAGGACATAATTATGGTATTACTTTGGTAATTTAATATACAAAGATCTAGGTAGTTTCCACAACCTGATTCAGTAGATATAAATTTTGAGATTGGGGAGAAATGGCTTTGTTCTCCAGATACAAAAAGAGAATAGTGAGGAGTTTATTGTTCCCAGTCTTGGGAGCATGGGGTTAAACTCGGTGGATAATTTTGGAAGAGAAAGTGATATACATCAGGCCTGAGCAGAATCAATCAGAAAAGAGCTGGAAGGGAACTTGGAGGTCTATTTCAACCCCCTGCTCAAGCAGGAGACCCTATCCAACAAGTGACTGTCCAATCTTTTCTTAAAGACCTCCAGTGATGAAGCACCTACAACTTCTGAAGGCAAACTGTTCCACTGGCTAATTGTTCTCCCTGTTAGGAAGTTTCTCCTTAATTCCAGGTTGTTTCTTTCCTGGATTAGTTTCAATCCATTGTTTCTTGTCTTGCCTTCTGGTGCTTTGTAAAATAAATTGACCCTCTCTTCTTTGTAGCAGCCCCTCAAATACTGGAATACTGCTATCATGTCATCCCTAGTCTCTTTTTTCCTCTAGATTAGTCATACCCAATTCCTCTAACCACTCTTCATATGTTTTTATCTCCGGGCCTTTAATCATTTTAACTGTTTTTCTTTGCACTTTTTCCAAAGTCTCAACATTTTTTTTTGTAATGAGACCAAAACTGGACACAGTCTTTCAGATGTGGTCTTACTAAGAATTTATAAATCTGTACTCATCTATTAATATTTAGAATTACTCAAGGCTGCCTGGGACACCAGAATTGGGGGTGTGGCAAGTTTTTGTGCCTTCTCAAGGTGGATAAGAGGGCTTCAGTGATAAGACGTCTGATAAAGGAATGTTATGTTAAAGGTAAAGGAATGATAAGTTCATGTAGAGAGCTATGTTTCATTTCTCTCTGTGAGTAAATAATGAGTTTGGGTGCAGAAACAATAATTGGTACTGATGCTGTAATTGTGATGATGAAATGTGCTGTGAAAAAGAATTAAAACCAGGAAAGACTGGTGAGGGAAGAGTGCATTGATCAGTGCCACAAGGGAATATTATGGGACTGGAATGATGAAAAAAATAGTAATGTAGAGGAATTTAAAGGATCTGAGACTTTCCACGGGTAAAATGGGTAGATTTCATCTGTATTAATATTCCAAGCCAATGCATGGATTGAGGAAGTTGGGACCAACTATTTAAAATGTTGTTCAAATCAATAACTGAATATGTTCTCTTTAGTATACTTTAAGGTTTAGTAATCTTATTACTAGTAACGTTTATTTGATTTTACTCAGAATAAAATATACAGTCTGTCATGCAAAACACTTCTGGCTTACATGGAGTGTTAAATGTACGATTAGGTACGATAAAAAGTACAGTAAGAAATCATAAAATGTAATAAAACCAGTAGCCATGAACAATTTTAGAGGCTTCCTAAAATGCCAAAGCAAATTTAAAATTCATCATGTGTTTAAATTGTAATAAAGCCAGTGCATAGCCTATTCCAAGAGAGACTATTGTAAGAATGAGTGCCATAACAGAAAAAGTTTCCTGCTGATACCAAACATAAATTCACGGGACATTTCCCAGCAACAAAAGCTTCTAATGATTTCAGTGGCCTGTCAAAGATATATAGGAAGAAGTATTTTCTCCTGTGCGGAAGCTCAAGACTTTATAAATGATTAAGAATGCTTAAGGCTGATGCCTTTCACTCTAGCTGCATACTTTGCAGAAAGATGCCATACCAAATTGCATTACAGATAGTCCTCGACTTACAACTGTTTGTTTAACAACAGTTCAAAGTTATGGCCTCAGAAAAAGTGATTTATGACTAGCCCTTGCACTTACAACCATCACACCACCTCTGTGCCACATGATCCCAATACAGGCATTTTTGGAAGCCAACTTGGATTTATGACCAATTGCAGCATTCTGCAGTCATGTGATCATGATTTGCAACCTTTCCAATCTGTTTCAGGCAAGCAATATATCAACTGGATTGCTTGATGAGTGTGTGGGTTGCTTAATGACCATGATAAAAATGGTTGTAAGCAAATCCGATCACACAATGCCTTGCTTTACGGCTGCACCAACTTAATGATGGAAATCCTGGCCCATAACAAGTTATGGTTGTAAGTTGAGGATCATCTGTAAATTTTTCTAATTTAAGTTACCACTGAATAAATCACTAGAGGTAAGTCAATCTTGTTCAGGAATTGATGCTGCATCTAAGGCAGAGGTAGTAAAAAATGCTCTTTATCGCTGCAAGATCTTGATACTTTCACAGTTACATAATTCTGAAAGCCATTTTAAATTGAATATTAGTTCAATTATTTCTTTAACCTGGAAACTGCCTGTTCCTAAGAGCTTTCCAGTGTTTCAAACTTTGCCTGCTGGCCCTAATCCACTTTGATATGAAATTTATTCCTACCTGAAGAATGCAGTCGTTTTTCACTTCTGGAAAAAGATGCCCTTTCCCTGCAAGCAATAAGGACAGTCAAAACTAGTAAGGTTCTATGGTGAGGATTTAAGTTAAAGCTGAATTATACACAGCAGCAAATAGATATTCCTTGCTTTTATTAAACAAAAGCAGGGACATTTGAAGTAGGTAACAAAATTGAAAGTTGTAATGGCTTTGAAGGAATCAAGCCCCATGTTTTGCCAGAAGAAGAGTTCATAGTGTGTGGCTTACTCATCTCCTTTCAGTGCTGTTTCCTTACAAATTTCCCTGGTTCACCTCAACAGTGTTGGAATCTCTCCCAAACCTATGATAAGGAATCAATTGTTGCTGACTTAAAAGTTTGTATAGCTGTTTAATTAGATGTTTAAAAAAATGTAGGCCTCTTTGCAGTGTGATAAACAGTTGCAGAAGAACACGAGGCTATTCATTGATATTTGTTCCGTATTAAAATGCTTTCGTCCAATTTACTACTTCAGGTAAGATATATTTGGACAGGCAGTTTTATCATTCTTTGCAGAATTAATCAATTTGTAATCAATAGAGAAGAAAAACCCATATCTTGCAGTTCCAAACTCCAATACAAATTCCTTCCTCTACAGAAAATGTGAAATTCTAAATTGTTCATGTCAGCTAGGGATTATGGGAGGTGAATTTCAGATAATTGGAGGCCATCAAATTGGGGACTGCTGCTGTATTTTATTGCATTGTTTGGGTACATTTTGTTTAATTTTCCCCCCAAATGCAAGTTAAAAGAATATTAATAAATTTGAGATTGTACAACCAGAAAATGTTAGATGAGTGCTCTATTAAAATAGTCCTGTGTAATGCAAAATGTCCGTTGTTCAAAGTTGATAATAAATCTGAATATAAGCTCATCTTGGTTTTAGATTTATATTACTTTCATTTTAGACATTCAGATGTAGAATTATCTTTTGGTATTTTCTTCTTTCTGATCTAGATCTAAATTCGAAATTCTATGGTTCACCATCCCTTTGGTGTGCTTAATAACTGGGGTCTTAGGACCAAGGAATATGTAAAGTGCTTCAATAGCTGCATTACAAACCAGATGTACTGGTATAAAAACTCTACGCTGAAACAGAAGGTGGAAAATATATGTATTGTACATATGTCTGCATATGTCCGTATATCTATATGTGTGTGTATGCTAGTGGTGGGATTCAAATAATTTAACAACTGGTTCTGTGCCCTAATGATTTCTTCCAACAACCAGTTCACCAAACTGCTCAGAAAGTTAACAACCGGTTCTCCCGAAGTGGTGAGAACTGACTGAATCCCACCACTGGTGTATGCACATCGACCTATATTCACTTACCTAGATTTTTTCTTTCTAGTAGGTGTTCCCCTTAATTCTTGACTAAATTTGTTTTGTTTCGCTGAGTCTGCATGGGGCTGTTTCATGTAGCTGTCAGAAGATACTATTGTTTGGCTCTTGTTCTGAAATTCTGCAATAGAACCCACAACATCTGAATAGGTGACACGCTTGGAAGATGCTTTCTTACTCAGTTCTGTTGCCTCTTGACTGGCTCCTTGATTTTTAAAAGATTCTATTGTGTTTTTTTCCTGAGGAAGAAGGAATAAGAAAGCATACATCATCGTGCCTTATGTAGCAAAAACTGAAGACCTGGTATAAAACTCAGTACAGTAAATCTACCATTAGTTTCTGTGAATTTGCTATGGAGATTATTCAGAGTGCAACCTAGAAGATTTGACCCAAATATTTCCCTGTAGATTAGGAAGAATGAGAGGCACAAAATGAGAAACAGAAAAGAATATATGAAGTCACATTAGCAATATTTTAATAGGCTTAAAACTATTATTAGATTTGATGTTTTCTGTCCCAAAGGTGCTTTTTAAAGAGGCAATTGGACTTTCTGGTTTTTCTTTGAAGATGTATGGCTTCTCATTCAAGAAGCTTCTTCAACCGAGCTTCTTGGATGAGAAACGAAATGTCTTCAAAGAAAAACCAGAAGGTCCAGTTGCCTCTTGAAAAAGCACCTTTGAGACAACCATGACCTGGATAACTGAGAATCTCCATAGATAAGTATGATTTATATTTAACTGTGCTGTCACTGATTTCCTTTAAATGATTTCTGCTGTGCAGCTTATTTTTTGCATTTTTCTTGTCACTTGTAATAATTTCAGTTAAATGTATATAACTGCACACTAAATCCAGTTATTTGGACTTAAAAGGTCTGTGGGTTAAGATTCAGAAGTTATTATTTTTCATTGTTTTTCAGAGATGACATGGTTTCTTTCACGTCGAAGTTAACCAAGTGTATGCAGCTAATTCTAGACTTTTCAAATACTTGCATTAAGGACAGCTCAATCTTATACTGAGGTCAGAGTGTCCTGATCTTGTATCATGTGTAAGCAGTCTGCTTGATGCTGTTTGCAGACTGACAGTAAAAAAGACATGGGATTGGAAAAAAATATCCTCTCCTATGAAACCTCCTTAGAATAGCTCTTGAGAAGTCTATATTTTTATAATATTTAAGGACATAATAACCTGCAGAATTCTTGAGATGTAACATTTCAGTCTTTTGGTAGCCAATTTTTTGGTCATCAAAAGACCCTGGCTGCAGATCATGCGTGAAATGTTCAGGTCTAGCAACACAAAATGTTTTTAATTGAGTGACATTTTTACTAGTGAGATGTGATGTATATAATGCTGGTCAAATGTCAATTTTGTCACTCTGGAAAATGTATTAATTAATTGAATTACTGAATTGAAATCTGGGTTTTCAAAAAATAGAATGTTTTTATTTATTCATCCACAACTTAAAATTTCTCCAGGATTTAATTTTTTTTCTATTACTTGTGATGCCTTTTGTTGATGGAGATTCTCAGTCATCTAGGTTGTGGTTGTCCCAAAGGTGCTTTTTTCAAAAGACAATGACATTCCTTGTTTTTCCTTGAAGAACTGAAGAAGTTTCTTAGATAAGAAGCGAAACATCTTCAAGGAAAAATAAAGACAGTCCTGTTGCCTTTTGAAAAGGCACCTTTGGGATTGCCATGCCTTTGTGTTACACATGAAACACTTTAGGAGAATTTTTTTTAAAAAAAATTGTACTGCAATTAATTGTGAAACATAAAATTGCCCAATATAAAATGTTTCTGAATTACCTCAGTGTGTATGATATATTGGTTTATTTTACATGTTTAATTGATTTGAAAACAGTATGACACAGCAAAACGTATAATTTGCTTTGGGTGACTATATTCTCTTTAAAGATTTCCTTCTGTCATGATCAATGAGGTAGGGATTCTTAAGGAATGAGTTATTTAGCATCTGACCGTCTGTCTATCTCTTTATCTTAGTGGTTCAAAAATTTTCTTCTGCTTAAATAGGAATTTGAGCCAGGCCAACCCACTAACCAATACTTTTATTAAGTAATGCATGCTTATATTCCCAATCTTCTCTGAACACTTATAAGACCATTTCAGAGTAAAGCAATGAAAGCATAGCAAAAAGAAAATCTTCACACCAGTTTTCAGTAATATCAAAAAAAATTAAAGGTCAGTTTATATATAAGGTACTTTCCCTAACATGGTAAAGAAATTGACATCGAAGTTACTTTTTTAAAAAATTCAGTTTTACAAAAGCACCAATTTTACTGAACAATTGATATATGTGGTGTTTGAATGCTCAGGGTCTCATTTCCGACAATATTCGTGATTTGTGAAGAAATGTTGGGTCCATCCAGTAAACACTCACTTGTATTCCTGTTTTACTCCTGATGGCTTTATTGTCGTCCTGAGTTTCAAAATCCTTATAAAGAGTATTAATTGAAGGACCTTCAGATTTAGATTTCAGCAGATTGATGAGCCGTACCCACTGAGAGAATATCTCACTCTGCTTCTGTGGTGAAGCACAGAGTTCTAGGTAGTAGGCGCGACCATTCAGCAATTTAAGCTTCAGCCGTTTCTTATTAGCGGAGTGAATGGAGAGATCTACAAACTGCAAAGGCAAGAACCTGCAACAAAGTTGTCATATCAGTTTCAGAAAGATAATATTTTAACAATTCATTACTTTGTACAGGACAGGATAAGATTCGGCAGTGGTTTCAAACAGATTTCATTATGATTTGGGTTGCCTAAAAACAGTACATTTTATGAAGGAAGACAGGCAAAGTGAGTGCATATAATAGAAAGAAGCCATTTAATAATAGACATAATCCAGACAGATCTTCCAACTTCTTGGATGATAAGAAAAAAGTAATAATGCAAAAATGCATAACATTTTAAAGGTACAATTCTAGTTTTGCACTATCGGGCAATCTGATTTTATAATGTTCTATGCACACCTTTCCCCACTTTACATTGGTGCCAGTTTCCGTTTGGGTGACACCTCATCAGCGCCATGTTGCTTGTTACTTACTTGGGCCATTTAGATACCATATCATCTAGACCAGGCCTGTCAAACTGGCGGCCCTCAGGCTAGATGTATCGTCCAGGCCACACCCATCCCACCTCCACAAAGGCAAAAAGTCCCGATGCGTCAATATGTCACGTGACACGAATGAGTTTGACACCTGTGATCTAGACTATATTTTTCCATTTTATTAAGAAAACCATCATCAGAAAAAAAAATAGTTTGGAAGTGGTTTGCCATTGCCTGCTTCCTAAGTCTGAGAGAAAGTGACTGGCCCAAAGTTACTCAGCTTCATTTGTGCCTAAAGTAGGAATAGAACCCACAGTATTGCTTTTCTAGCCTGGTGTCCTAACCCAGTGTTTTTCAACCTTTTTTGTGCAAAGGCACACTTTTTTCATGAAAAAAATCACGAGGCACACCACCATTAGAAAATGTAAAAAAAAAATTAACTCTGTGCCTATATTGACTATATATAAAGTAATTTTCCCACGGCACACCTTACACTATGTCACGGCACACTAGTGTGCTGCGGCACAGTGGTTGAAAAACACTGTCCTAACCATTACTTTTATTTTATAACATAGTTTCTCCAAATCAACTTATGGTAAATAACTATATACCTGAGTATTTTTTAGTAGTTAACTCACCTGGTGAGTACCAGTTCTTCTTTAGAATGTGAGGGTTGGGTAGATGGTGGATAGGCTGAAAGGTCTTCTTTGGAGGAATAGGGAGATGAATTGGCAAGCAACATGACATTTGGCTTTGACAATTTTGTGCTAGAGGAACATATGCCCACAGTCACATAGTTGGGACGATTATGAAGGTAAATTGATCCACCTTTCCTATTTACCTAAAAAAAAGAGAGTAAAGTTTGTTCCAAGAATAATAAAAAGTACAGTTAACAGAAACTAACATAACTTTGGCATGCAAGTGAATGATGAAATTTAAAAAAAGCATTCTAGCAGAGCAGGGAGAAGTAAAAGATGACAATAATAGTTTAAGTATATGAATAAACTCAAAATAGATACATTCTTGGAAAAAAACCATGTTATTAAAAAAATTATCAAGATGATGAAACAGTTACTCATATAGTCACCACAAGATAAATCCACCTCAATGACTTGTCAAAACAGAATTAGCATATGAAATGATTACGAGTTATAAGCAAGTGTTAAAGCACAATGCATGAAGAGAATTATTCATGGGAATTAAATAGTTATAACAAGGTCCGTTTGTTGAGTGGAGCTGAAGAGTACATTAGTTCCTGGATAAAACCTGCTTAGCTATTATACAACTGATAATTTATTTTTGATTGAATTAGAACTTTGGTTGCTTACCAAAACATTAGAATTATGTTTTGCTAATCACCCCAAAGAGCATATATATATATATACAGTATAATGCTAAAGCTAAAGAACTGCAGCATTAGAATAGCTACGTGACTTTATTCTAAATTTTATACATAAACAGAAACATGTATCTCTTAGAAATTGAGTCTAAGTAATATATCACAGTAATTAATTAGTACCTATTTTTATTTAAATTCAGTCTTAGAAAATAGTACAGATTTACCACTGGTAAAGCAAATCTATACCATAGAGTTAATTTCTCTTAAGAAGGGTCATAGTTGGCACACCAATTTAAGCCAATACACTTTGTATTCTTCCTTGAAGGAGAAGGAGGAGGCTTGAATGGAAAGCCAGGAGATCAAATCTGAGGTCTTCAGTCAGAACTGATCCCTTAGCATCTAACACCACCACTTTCTCCAAGACCAAAGGGCTGAAAAGTACAGGGTTACCCTGAATTATGACATTATTCCTTGAGGTTAATAGGTTCCTTAAGAGTAGCCACTGGACAACTCTCATCAGCTTAGTCCAGTGGTATGTCAGCTGCCTATTGCAAAAGAGCCTGTGGCAGGCTAATCAAGCTGCTGGAAGTAACAGTTGTGACAACCTCATTTTCTGTCCAGACACCCTGAGTATTGTGCTTATCTAGATTATGGAATTTTTGCTTGTTTAGCAATGCTTTTCAATTGCATTTCACTCACTGACAGCTTGATCACTCTGTTTAGCACACTTTAGTGACACAAATTGCACATTTTCTGATCTTGGCTAGCTCAATATCTTTCCTTCCCTTCCTCCCCTGAGGTTATGGCACAGAAATTGAAAATTGTCCCCTATGCTAAAGCAGTCTCTTGAAACTTCAACCCATAGCATTGCATAATCCTTTTCTCGTAAGAGTTTGAAGCAATTAGTCCAACTCCTTGCATAAGAATTCAAAGGATCTGAGAAACCAAGCATGAAGATATGAATCAGATCCTCTATTAGGATCAGTGGTGGGTTTCAAAAAAATTTGGAACCTCTTCTGTAGGTGTGGCCTGCTTTCCGGGTCCACTGGTGGAACCTCTTCTTACCGGTTCGGTAGATTTGACGAACCGGTTCTACCGAATAGGTGCGAACTGGTAGGAACCCACCTCTGATTAGGATTAATATAGTAGTTTTAATATCTTTCCTGAGTTGATCAGCTGCTAACTGGAGAAGTTCAGTTTAATTCAGTTTTGACAGAATTTTGTTAATGTGGCCCAAACCAAACCAAATTAAACTTGATTCTGGGGAGCAATTTAACATTAAGAGTACTTTTGGGAGTTAAAGAAAGAAATAGTAATGTTGAGTGTTGCTGCTTTATTTTTTTTTATAGTCTTATTAAAAAAATGCAACCACTGCATATTCAACCAATTGTTATATGAACTGAGTAACGAGGGATGCATGTCTTGTAGACTAGGATATGCAAGCAAAATATTTCATATGCTTTACATAGAATGCAAACCCTTTGTGTATGTTGCAATTTTGATTTAATATATACAATGTCTGGATGACTTGAGCAGCTTTATATTGGGAATGAAAAGAAGGGACAGGAGGGAACCCTAGGAGGATCCACAGCTTAAAGGTTCTGGGGTTTAGTAATGAACCTTAAATTTGGAATGGACATGGTGCTTCAATAGGGAATGGAATTGCAGCAAAACTATATAACTACTCATAAAACCTACCCCCCCCAAAAAAAGATATTGCAAACATCTGTGAAAAAACATCTAGAAATTTTTTGGCATTATTATACTAGTAATACAATACTAGTATTATATTAGTACTAGTACTAATACAATACATTACAATACTAGACTTGAAGATCAATAAAAAATATTTAATCCAAATTGGTTGAATTGAATTGAATTATTGGAATTCTCAGTATCCAAAGTGGTTTCTTAAAAATTTAGTTATTTCTTGTTTCAAGGCAGAAAAGAAAGAACGTTAAACAACTTCTCTGATAAAAGCTACTTAATCCTGCTGTTCTATATTGGTATTGAGGGAAAAGCCTGAAGGGACAAGTGGTAGGATAACTTTTCTATCTATCTTTCTTACTTTTTCAGTTCCTGTAATTGAAAATCTTTCTACCAATTAAACAAATGCACTTCAAAAAATAAATTACCTGAACAAATTTACTTTCAAATACAGGAGCAGATTTCAAGGGAATATATTCTCCTTTGTCAAGAACTTTCTGAAGATCTCCCATAGCAGGTTTGCTGATTTTGTAAGTTGTGTTTTTAAAGCTTTTAAAAGTGACAGCTGCTTATTATACCTAAACACAAGACAAGAACAAATGATATTCTTACAGAAGAACTATTTACTACTGGATATACTGCTGCATTCACTATTTCAGACTATTGGTGAAAGTTCTATGAAAACATTGAATTTCAAATCTTTTGAATGGCATATCATGCATTGGAGTCCATTAATATCCTGAATGTTTAGTGGTGATTTCTGTACACTCTGACCTCTGGACAAGGTAATGTTCAGGCATGTTATTTTAGAGATATTTGCTGCCATTTTGCTCCATCTGGGCTAAGATGGAGTTAAGGATTCAGAGATGAGCCCTTTTGAGGGCTTTCAGATAACCACTTTTTAGTTTGTAATTTTAATCTCTTTATGTTTTATAATTGTTTTTATTTCTATATGTTTCTATAAGACAATAAACATTTGATAAATAAGTAGGCCACTAAAATTATCTAAGAAAGGTAAATTATTATATGAGGATTAAGACTTGGCAATATAAGAAGAGATTTTAGTAGGTTCTTCTGAAAAGTTTCAGCAATGTTGGAAGTGATACTCTCTGGGGAAGCCAAGCCCTGCAGTATATATATATATATATATATATATATA